CAGTCAACAAGTGCTGGAGATAAGGGCCAGATCCTCAGTTGGTGGAAATCAATGAGGCTCCATTGACTTCAATAGAGCTATGCGGATTTCCACCAGCAGAGGATCTATCCTGAGGTTTTCATAGTCTTCTGTGAAGGTCACCAATGGCCCAGTCAGGAAGAGGGCTAAAGGACTGATAGTAGGAAGGGGATAAAGTCTGTGGAGTCTGAGATCTGGGTTCGATTGCTGGCTCTGCTACAGACTCCCTGTGCAACTTCAGGCAAATCGCTATGTCTCTCTGTGCCTCAGTTCCCCATGTGTAAAAGGGAGATGGTACACTCCCCTCCCTCACAGGCAAAGGACGAACTCTGTTATTGATTGGAAGTCACTCAGCAACAATGGTGATAAGGGATAAGCAGGAACGGGTAAACCGTGTGGAAGTTTTCCAAATCTCACTATTATGCTTTGGTTTCACAAAGCGAATTTAAACCATGGTTTTTCAAGGCTAATCTAATTTTTGTTTTAATGATTTTTTTCCAGCTAATGGAAATACTGAGTCTGATTTTCTGAGATGCTGGAAACCCACAGTCTCCATTGACTTCAACTGGTGCTACAATTACTTGAAGATCAGGCATGGGGAAACCCTCACCTGTTGTACAGCCAGCTCTGTGCAAGCCTCTTCTCTTTCCGTCCACCCGTCCCCGAGCAGAGGGGTGTATTAGATCAGGAGAGGGCATGGCCAGAACATATAGTACTCCAGCAATCCCTACGTATAGAAAGACCTTTAGGGGGCTGCAACAAACCAGCATAACTTAGGGCAGCCCTGATCTGTGTCTCTTAGCAAGATCAGTTCACATATCCTGACTCACACTGAAAGGGTTAATAGATGCCAGCATGCAGGAATTTAACGGAGACGATTATTCCAAAGTAGCCTTAAAAAAAATGAACACTTCCTTTATCGGTGAGAGTCTGGCCAGGCTGCAGGGGCCGACAGCCACAAACCACCTCATTGTCCCAGGGGCACTGGGCTAGTTCTACATTACAACCTGCGGCGGAGTCTCATTAACAAAAGGTCAGGTTATTGCCGAGTGAGGGAATGACAGCTTACAGGCCAGCCTCAGTCATTTCCTAATGAGGGATAATTAAATGCTACCTCTATATAAAGAGAAGTCTATTTCAAGGGCTTACATCCACAAAGAAACAAAAGGCATCCTCTCAGCAGGGAAACTGTTGTGTTACAGGCTGTCCCAGCCACCTGGTTGACAGCTCCTCCCCAGAGATAGCTGCATCTTACTGGTTCTCTGTGCTTTGGAATCTTTCAGGACAAAAGTCACTATAAAAATGCAATGTATTATTTTTCCCTGGCCTCCGCTATATCTTGTTGGATAAACAGTCGTACAGAGCACCATTTGGCTTGGAGGTCTCCAGCTTCTACATATATTTCTCTCATTTTCTGCTAACTAGGGGATCAGAACTTGCTATTCTTACTCAGGCAAAACACACAGTACTGGACCCTAGGAAAGGAATGAATGAGCTTCCATTTCGTTTGGCTCACTTTGAAAGTTGTTGAGGCTTCAGTGCCCTCAGATCACACAATGAAAGCCGATGGAGAATGTGTGTGTGTGAGAATGGGTCCATGTGTATTAAGTTAAGGGAGACGCGATAAGGCCTATGTAATGTGTACTGAGTTAGAAGAGAAATTATAAGGGACGTGTGCTGTGTGTATGGAGAAATTATCAGCTGGGTGGGTATGGGTGTTGGGTAGGGGCGTGGACTGATTCGGAGCAGCCAGAGCAGGCTCATTTCTCCAGCACACCAAAAAACCCCTTCCCAAGCTACTGGCAATAAAGCAACAGGCATGTGACTCATGCTGCTGACATATAATCAGTGACAATTCAGCTGCTGTGCATGCTTGGCACAGGTGTGCGCTTAGCTTAGTTAGCCGGCAGCAGGCAGATATTTGGGAGCACCATACGAGCTTGTTACAGCAAGAGACAGAAGCTCAGGGATAGTAATAATCCTTCCTCTACAGCAGGCCCAGTGGCATGTTGCACCCTCCCCACCCCATTTCCCTCCCCAGGCTCAGAGTCCTCACTGTTGGGCCTCCTGTCAGGAAGCGCCTGCTGGCTGCAGGTACCCAGGCGCCAAGCTCGCCGCAAGCTCATTCGTTCATGTTAATCTCCGCAGCAGTTCAGAAGCAGGAGAATAATGGTGCAGGGTGCTTGCTCTGCTCGCTTCCTAGCAGGGAAGATCTTACCCCCAGCTGAAGGCCAAGTGACAAGGAGGGTGGAGAACAGAAACCTCAGTCAGGGTCTCAAGAGGGAGAAACAGGGAAGGGTGCCAGTGTATTATTAGGGGAGAGAAATTATCAGGGATGTTTCAGAGTAGCAGCCGTGTTAGTCTGTATCCGCAAAAAGAAGAACAGGAGTACTTGTGGCACCTTAGAGACTAACAAATTTATTAGAGCATAAGCTTTCGTGGACTACAGCCCACTTCTTCGGATGCATATAGAATGGAACATTCTATATGTGTGGCAGCTCAAGGCCAAGACAGTACAACCCTTGGATGGATCACATACTCCCCCCCTTAGAACTTCTTATGATGTTAGCAGAGCCCAGTTTGTGCTGGGCTCTCAGCACAGGGGTGACTTTCACCCTGAGGGAATGCAGGCAACTATAAAAGCAGCTATTTAGTAAGGAGAAGTGGCAGGAGGTCTCTGAAACAGCCGAGCTCCACAGCCAGCCGTCGCAAGCCTAGGTTTCCATCGCTCTTGTTGCGGCCAAAATAAAACCCTCCAGGAGAAAATCGTGAGGAGGAAACTTGCTAGTCGAACGACTATTTGCTGCTGTCGCAGAGGCAGCCGTTTGCTCCGCTGGCTGACAGCGATGCCCAGTGAGGAGGACGGTTTCTCCCAGGCTGGTCACTGGCATCTCAGATATGCAGATGGCACTCGAGTGCTAACATGACACCAGGCTCACGGTGACACTGTCTCGCGTTACCAAAGCAGATTGGCCGCGTCAGGTGGGAAAAGGCTCCGCACATGAAACAGGGATGTCTGGATGCACTCGTCACCAACACGTGCAAATGGGCTTCCCCCTCGTCCCCTTTTCCTTTTTCTGTCTCATGAGCCCTCCCCTCCTCTTGCACCGCCTACTCCTCCACCTCTTCTTGGATGGTAATTCAGCAGCCTCACCCTCCTCCCGGCTAGACGGCTGCCACTTCGCTGACCTTGGCCCAGAATCCTGGCTGTCGCGTGAGCCGAAGCTCACAGCATGACACCTGCCACAAGCGCTTGTTATCCCTCAAGCTGCTCTTCCTGGGCCTGGTCCACCCGTAGCGCGGACTTGTTTAACTAAAGGTGTGAGGCTGCACCTACGTAGCTAAACTGGAGCAACTTTGTGTGAGGACACCCTTATATCAGTTTAAACCTGACTCACATCCGCCTTGCTTGCACCTCTTAATTCACCTACATCAGCCTACTTTAAACTGGTGTAAAGTCTCCACACAGAAAGGGGAAATCTACATGACAACATTAAGCCGACTTAAGTTACGTTGATGTACAGCCACGGCAGTAATTGAATTGGTTTTACACAACCACACTAAGCTCCTTGTGTCGGCGGTGCGTGTCCTCACCAGGAGCACTTGCACTGATTTCACTGCTAGTGTGGGGCATTGTGGGGCGGTGTCTGAAAGGCAGCAACCGTGAATGAAAGCAACGCAGTGTCTACACTGACACGGCATTGATCTAACTATATTGACTTAAGCGCTACATCTCTTCACTCTTTGCACGAACAGTTAACCTTTGGAGAGCTCCCAATGACTCAGTAGCTCAAACACCCAAGCTCCAAAAGGGGGCACTTGGCCAGAATTCACATTTCTGTTGAGTGAGAAGCACTAACCGCTAGAGAGTCCAACCAAAACCCCTGTTATCTGGAGGAATCCTACCTGGAATTCAGCAAGGACTTTATCACTTACTCCTCTTGTTAAAATTCACTGCTTCGTAGATTCAGAAGGGACCATGATGAGCAACTAGTCTGACTTCCTGCATAAGACAGGCCATGCAGTGATTCCAGCATCTAGCCCAATGCTAGATGGTGGAGCAGGCGCAGTCTTTGTTAGAAAGACGCCCAATCCTGACATCAGAGATGATCTGCTAGTTTTTAGAAGCTAAGATAAAAAGGCTGATCTTAGTAATCCACACAACTTTCTGTACAGTGATCACAAGATTGAAAGAGCGTGTGTATAAGAACCATTCAGTATTGCTAAGAATGTTGAGAAAGTCTACGAAGTGTTGGAGAGTCCAAAGAGCAGACCTCCTTTACAGACACATTCTCAATCTCTCTCTCTCCCCCCTGCCCCCAATTTGCTCATCCTCAATGACTCCATTACAATTGAAGGACAAGAGAAACAGCCTTTTTGAAGATGTAAGATGTTAAGATGGCATTTAATTTTTTCCCCATGTAATGCACTACTTGCTTCCCATGGGGGCTAAGAGTCAAAATACAACAAGAAAGGATGTTCTCGCATTATTTTCAGCCCCACTGGAAACAGCAAGTACCAGGGAACTCAATAGATGGAACCTGATGTGAGTTTCTCAGCTCAGTTTTGCAAACCAGGAAGCTTAAAATAAAGGTGAAGAAAATCAGTTACGTTTGCGGGTCCTGGAGTCATACAGCCAAATCCTGACATCTTTACTCAGGCAAAACACTGAAACGAATGGGAGTTTGCATGAGTAAAAGTGGAGTAAAGGCATTCAGGGCTTGGACCATATTTTGGAAGTATGTTGACTGGCCCAGAATCTCCTCTTATACCGGGATAAATGAGGAATGACTTCATGGAAGCCAATGGCATTAAACCCAACGAGCCAGAAGAGAATCGGGCCCTTTGTCTCATTAAGGGAAGGAAAGGATCAATGAAATTATGGGTAGCTAACATCTTCTCTTCTGATCATGGCTACCATTAGTAAACTCTCCCTCCCCTGCCCCTGCAGTTCTCTCCTGGATCATCCAGCTCCTCCTTACCTTTGTACTGAGGCGTGAACTGCTTAATGGCTGTGGGGAGCGACTCGTAGAACCACTGCTCCTGGGAGATGAGGGGTTTGCAGACGGTGTGCTCATCATATTTCATCATGCTCATGTGGCCCCCAACCTGATGGATGAATGGTTCCAAAAGGACTGCTTTCCTGGGGTCCCCCGTGTCCAGCTTATTCTGCACCACCATGCTGTCCGGAGACCCGTGGTCCAACTCGTACTTGGGCCGAGGCGAAACACACTCCTTGATGGAAGTGCCCTCTTTTTTTTAGTAGCAGTGAACCGGGGTGTGTTGCAGGGAAGCAACCAGAAGATGGGCTTGGGTTTGTCAGCCCCAGGGGGAGCCTAGATCTTTGTTGCTTTACCACGTATAGGTCTTCTGGCTTCTCAACGCACCATAGAGAACGTCTCTGCCAACTGAAGGATAAATACAGAATGTGAGAAAACAGGGGCAAATCACTTCCAAACACCTTCCTGCTTTTCAGTGGAACTCTCCCAAGGCTAAGGCTGCCTCCAATGGCTCCCCCTAGGCTCCTGCATACATCACTGTCCAGCCCAAGAGAAGCCCCCCATACAAGCAGGGAGAGTTATACATTGAAGGCACGTGCAAATCCCACCCTTGTAAGGTGAGCTCTATACATGCACATGGCTGGGGTCCAGGGCTTGAGCTGCAGACCCAATTTAAATCTGGTGAGGGGGCAAAAAAAAGTAGGGAAAGGCAATTGAAGAGAGCTATCGGGTTAATGCAGCGCCCTCTGAGATTAGCTAGATCAGGGCATTCCTTCTGCCAGCTAACACCAAGCTATGAACGTGACTCTCCTTTCCTCTCCTAAATGTAAGCCAAGGTTAGGATAATAATCCCGATCTGCTAAAACCATGTTGTTGATGAAGTTCTCAACCTTTTCTCAAGTTGTCCCAAGGTTAGGACATTCCCTGCCAGTAGGGCTATTTATAAAGACCTCTGTACTCTAGAAACCCCTGTGAAGGACATTCTCACACAAAGATGCCAGCAAAACCTACCTCCTACCCCCTACCCTCCCTCAGGAAGCTTCTCCACCTCCTACCCTTAGAGAAACCTCACACCAGGACATTCCTTGTCAGTTAACACTAGGACATTAGTAAAGGTTTCCCTCCTCCTTCCTAAAGGAGGCTGGGGTCAGGATATTCTAGGTCAGGATGGAACAGTAGTGCCATTAACACTGACCACAATCTATAGCTAAGATGAGAAACAGCTCCCACCCTGAATCCCCCCACCTCTCCAAGACATACTCCATTCTGGGGTAAAACATAAGGAAACCCACAACTAGTACATGCATTACACCAAAAGGCTCGATCCTGATCCCATAGGAGCTTTCCATGGACTTCCATAGAAACGGGACTTGGCCTTGGGCCTAGAATAATCAACTAGAAAAAAAACACACAGCCCTGTATTTGTCCTGGTGGCCCTCCTACCCAATTTCTATTAACCCAAATTGCCCATTGACTTCATTTGGAGCAAGACTGGACTCAATTATTGGGGATAATAATAATGGGCCCAATTCACTCTGCCCCAGGGCAGCTGAACATGAGGACAGGACTTCTGTTGCCAGAAGTGCTCCACCTGCAAAGGTTTGTTTCCCCCAAGGCATGGAGAGCTCCCTGCCGCAGAATGTCCCTCTGCTGAAGGGCCGGCATTGGAGTTGCACTGAAGCTGAAATTGGACCTACAAAACCAATCTACCTGAAGGAACAGTTACCTCACAATTCCCCAGCCCCCATTCCGATGGCCAATGCTGTAAAACACAGAGGGAGGTTTGTTCTTTTGCATGCAGGATTGGTGAGTGAAATGGGACACCGGGAATGTAAACAAGTGCATGGGAGAGACATTCCGGGATGGTGATCTGGCCTTCCAGTAACGTGCCAGCACTTGACCATTCCCGTCAAAAGAGGGCACTGAAAGGGACTGGAGAAATTCCTTTCTGTTGCCCTTCCTTTCCTCTCAGCCAAAGACACAGGTTTTGAGGCCTTGCCCCATGTTGTGTAACACCGTAGTGTACAAGAAATGTCACTGATGAATTCAAGACATAAGATACTATTCAGTGTGAATAGCAGTGTCTACCTATCTTAGGTACTCATACGGTCCTCTTTACCCCAGCATCCGAGCACATTGCTATCTTCGATGTACACATATCCCTGTGAGGGAGGGAAGAGCTGTTCTGTCCAGCTTGCAGATGGGGAATGGAGGCGCAGAGAGATTAAATGATGTGTCCAAGGTCATGCAGGAAGCCTGTGGAGGAGCCAGATATTGAAGATGGTCGCCCAGGCTAATGCTCTAACCACTGGGCCATTCTCCCTCTTTGCAATGTGGCATCAAATTGAAAATAAATATCATATGCTCTGATTTGCTTTTAGCGGCAGCGGACTCCCAATCTAACAAAGTTCTCTGGCTTGAAAACACCGTGAGAGTCAAAGCTCAAGTGCTTAAACACTTTCCTCCTGTTCTCCCGTTGATAATGAAATCCCCGAATAAATGAGCACTTCAGCTTGGGTGCCTGGTTTTTGCATGGAGGACTTGTTCAAGTTAGATGAACTGGACTGGGGGGACTTATACTCATCCCCATGGAGAAATGAGACAGAACAGTTTAAGAATAAGTCCTCTATGGGGGAAATTTCTTCCCCTTCACTCTGCCCAAATTGAGGTGTTTAAACTCAAACATTTCCCAGGATTTCTTCCCCCTGCCAATTTTATCATCACCCTATGCCACGGAATGGGATTTTTGCCATACAGTTGCACAGATATAGTTTATACTAGCATTTACTTCCTGAAGGCACAATGCTGAGCCATATGAGAGTTATATGAGCGTTTTTCAAGCTAGGATGAATGTGTGTCTTTAGAGCCACTCCAGAACAAACAAAAGTATTTAACGTTTCTGAGTTGCATCAACTTTTACAGATTATTTTGCTCTTTAAAGTGTTTTTTGTTTGTTTGTTAACAGATTGATCATCAATCACCTTTCAAGCCAGAGAACAAAGCATGATTTCAATCCAGCATGTATTGCTTTGGAGATATTCCAAGGCTGAAACATAACTGACACAATGCGCTTACTGTCCTAGCAACCTTCACATCCCAATGTGTGTCAGGAAAAAAGACAACTTCACGAGGCTGTTATTGTTTACACTTCAGCACAACTCTGAACAAGAGCTGCACTAAGTGAAAGGGGCTGTTTCGATTTGCTGGCATCCTGAAGCAGCTCATCCTGACCATATAAATGTTACCATGAGCCCTCAACGAGTCACCAGTAGCGTGTCTCTGCTTGTCTCAAACAAGGCAGCCTTGAAATTAATCCCCTCTGTTGCTTAAATTGTCACAAGTGATGAAAGATATTTAGGCCACACACAAAAATTGAGGGTTACAAATCAATTTTAATCCTCCCAATTTTCTCAGGGATTTATTTTTCCTCCAAAGAAGGTGAGATGCAATCCATGTAGCAAAAAGTGACTTTATGGGTAGAAATAAGAGATAGTCCAAAAATAAGGATCAGAGTAACAGCCGTGTTAGTCTGCTTCTATATGCATCCGAAGAAGTGGGCTGTAGTCCACGAAAGCTTATGCTCTAATACATTTGTTAGTCTCTAAGGTGCCACAAGTACTCCTGTTCTTCTTTTTGCAAAAATAAGGAGTGAGGCATGCTTTTTAGAACTTCCCCCCCTCCTCCCCTTTTTTGGACAAAATCTCAAAATGTTTGAAATTTTTGCTTGTCTGAAAAAAGAAACACGTTTCGTGAATTTTCCTCCCAATTTTTTTGTCAAAATCCCCGAACATTTTCTCAAAATTTTTCTTCAAAATGTTCACAAACTCCAAGTCAACTCTTATGAAAACACAGGAGTACGTTTGTGTGTGTTTTGGTGATTTGCATTTCCCACAACTCTCCACCATTTAAAAAACACCAATGATCCTAGGTGTGTCGGAAGGCAGGTTCTATAGTCAATGTCCACTTTAGAAGACAACAGTTGGACAGTATTGCCCAAGGCATAGAAAAGTTATAAACGAACAGACTCTAGCCAGCAGAGGGCTATGGTGCACACAGGCTTAGCTATTATGTTCCAGCAATTCAAGCAGGCCAGCTTTTAAAAGCGAAGGCAGTTTATATTATTTATTTGTGATCCTACAATACACATGCTCAATAAATATATTATGGAGGCCAAATCATAAGGTCCTTACTCAGTTTCTACTAGGTTCTTCCCAAGGCAAAATCTCACTGCTCAGATTCTACAGTGGTGGGGCAAAATAAAGATAGACATACAGACCGAATCTGGCCTTGTACAATAGAACCTCAGAGTTACAAACACCAGAGAGATGAACTGACCAGTCAATCACACAACTCATTTGGAACTGGAAGTATGCAATCAGGCAGTAGCAGAGACACAAAAAAGAAGAAGCAAATACAGTGCAGTACTCTGTAGGGTTACCATTCGTCCGGATTTACCCGGACATGTCCTCCTTTTC